GGTGGTGGTGGGGGGGGGGGGGGGGGGGGGGGGATCACCTTCGGATCCTTTACCGACTCGGTGTACGTCACTCTGGACGAGCCGACCCCTTCTGAGGCTGCTGCTTTCTCTCCCCCTCAAAGGAGAGGATGCACAGCTATGCGGCTCCGGCCCCTCAGCACCGGTAGTCAGCAGTTCCTTTACCCACTATCCCAATAGAGGCTGCTCATGCTCAAGCCTCCCCTTCTCCTTCCTCTTTAAGGAAGAGGGTTGCTCAGGCCGAGCTTCCTCCACCCTCTACCCGTCGGGCTTCTATTTTCACCCGGCTGTCTCACCCTGAGGCTGCCAAGGAGACCCCGACACTCCCTTTAGTAGTCTTTGTTCCCCCTATCCAGCTAGTTAGTTCGAACATAGCTACTTCCTCCACCTCAGACCTTGGGAGAAGGGCTAGGAGGAATAGGAATAGAAGATTGCGCTTAGCGGCATCCAATGCAGCAGTTCAGTGGATGGAAGATTCTGTGGCTCAATAGGAGCCAGTTCAGCAGAGGACGATTCCCTTACATCGGGAGCCACGTAGATATGTAGTTACCCAAGTTTCTGATGTTGTAGTCACCCCTGAGATCGATGCAGTCCAGGGAGGATGCTTCTCAGTGCTAGTACATAGTGGTGACGAGGAGGACGCTGTTCGCATTGCGACAATTCCTCTTATCCCCACTACTCTTCCTCACGCTCGAGTCCCCAAGGATACTGTTGTTAGGAACCTCACTCAGAGGATCCGAGGCATTATCCATTCAGTGTGTAGTATAGGTCATGTTAGCGAGGAGAGGTTACTCCACCAGATCTCTCAGGTGCATGCCCAGTTGCAGCGACAGTCGATTAGGCAGAGTTACCGATGGAAGAGAGGACAGCCACCACGACAGCAGACCAGAGTAGTTCCTATCGTTAGACCCCAGACAGGTGTTCCTATTGCTGGACGACACCCCCACTGTCACGGACGTCGCCCGAGCCTATTCGGCCTCAGCTTGGTTCAGTCTTTGTTACCCCCTCCGCTCAGTTAGACGTTCCTATCGGGTCCCATCGTAGTAGATGGGTTTGGAGACGGCGACAGGTAGAGCAACCTGTCGAGTTGGAGCAGACAGTCAGGACAATCCATCGAGTTGATACAGCCCCTTCAGGATCAGTACCAGTTCAGATGAGTCAAGATTCATTAGATGTTGAGGATAGTGCCACGGCTCAAGGGGAGCCAGCTTCCGTTTCTAGTCCCCATAGGATTTATTCTCCTTTGGGTATGTACATCGATGCCCTTTGTCAGACCCTCGCCGATGAGGATTTGCTCAGAGAGGAGTTAGATGAAGATATCCCCGTTCATTCGTGTTTATGTTGTCACGAGATGAGGTACGTCAGAAAATCAACGGGACCAGTACGATGATTTATAGGAGCAAGGGGAGGCCGATTTACCTTCCACCTCAGCACAGGGTGGACCTCCCCGTTCAGTAGACACGAATGCCATAATTTTATAGTTGCAGACCCAGATGGCCGAGATGGCTAGAGCCATGGCGGCGATGACTGCCCAGTTGATGGAGTTGGGGCCTACACCCCATGTCATGGATGTAGGTACTCCTACTACATCCAGAGACGAGCCAGCGACACCACATTTAGTAGTGCTAGAGTATGTTAGAGTTGATAGAGTTCAGAGGGAAGTCCCGATGTCAAGAGTCAATCAGTCCAGTTGTCACTAGTTCAGATTCAGGACATGATTGCACATAGGGTTGACCAGGCTATCTCTTCTAGAAAGTCTGGAGATTCTGTTAGTAAAGGTCGTCCCTACCCAGTAGAGTATGAGTGGAAGTCTTACCCCGCCAGTTTTGTTCCTCCTCATTTCTGAGTGTTTGATGGGTTTGGGAGCCCAAGACAACATGTAGCTCAGTATCGGGCCATATATTGTAACATTGGAGAAAATGATGCATTGATGTTGAGATTATTTGTTAGTAGCTTAGGGGGAGTCACATTTGAGCGGTATGCCGATCTCCCTAATGATTCAGTTCGTACTTTTGCTGAGATGGAGCAGTTGTTTGTTCAGAGGTTCATTAGTACGAAGCATAGAGTGACTGTTGGTGAGTTGGTAGTGACCAGGCAGCGCCCTCATGAGTCTCTACCTAACTATATAGTTAGGTGAAGAAACCTTAGTCTTCAGTGTGAACCTCAATTGCAAGAACAACATGCAATTGAGATTCTGTTGAAGAATATAGATGGTCCCATCGCTCCGTACCTGAAGGGTTTTAGCATTCGAATCTTTCAAAAGTTGTTAATCAAAGTCACTAGCTTACAAGAAATCATACCTAGTGCAATCCCTCCTAAGGTTGAGAGTCAACCCACACGTAGACCTCAGCGTTTGGAGTTTTCTGGGGCACCACTTCCTAGGAAGGGGGAAGTGCATAGTACTTCTGATGCTCATGATAAGGGCAAGAGGCCCGTGGTTACTTCGGTACCACAGTGTCCACCACCACCACGACCACAGTTTCAACCTCGATCTCAGTTGCCACCACCAACATAGCCGTCAGGGCAGTTTCAATCTTAGCCACAGACTCAACAACAATTTAGGCGCCCTCACAGGACTCCAGAGACTCAGTAGTCTATACAGGAGAAGCTTAGCAAGGAATATCCCTTCAAAAGGGAAAGTGTGCATAAGATCTTTAAATTCCTTGTTAAGAAAAATATTATGGTATTCCTGGTTAACAATAAAGCAAATGAAGAAGGGAAGATATAGCATACTTTGTATTATCCATTTCATAGGAACATTGGTCATGTCCTTGAAGATTGCTTTGTGTTCAAGGATAGAGTGGAGAGCCTTATGGCTAGAGGTGAGATTCACTTACAGGACAGTGACTTAGTGAATCCTCAAGGCATAGTTACTCAGGTTGTTCAGATGATTACCAGCTCTAACCAGTGTGACAGTCAGTGTGGTGGTCAGAGCAGTGATAGTAGACCACCTCTTAGTTCTAAGGGGGAGTGACAGCTCTCACTCTCTCGCAAGACAAGGGGTATGATTAGACGGGCAGTTAAGAGTTCAGAGACAGTTGAGAGGAGGCCCCTATAGGCCAAGTCGACAGTTGCCAGCCTAGTTACTTTGCCAGTTTGTTTTTCTTCTTCTGTTGTAGTGCCTTATGAGTACACTTCTTCTACTTCTCCTTATATTAGAAAGATGTATGAAAGAGAGAAATTTGTTGTAACTTCTGAGGGGAAGACGGGATCTCTTCCAGCACTTACGCTGAAGGATTTCGTTCTCCCTTCAACTGATGATGAATTAATGAAAGATAATGATTCTGGCTACTGTAGGTCTCTTGCTCCTTCTAGTTCTATTTTTTCTAGCACTCGTTCTTCTCAGGTTTTATTTATTTTTGAAAATAATGATGATAGTTCTTTTGGAGAAGGGTTTGAGTGCGAGGAAGAGCCTGTGTTTGCTATTCCTGAGGGAGGTTGTTACATGAATTTCGAAGATGAATCCGAGAACACTCCTCAATCACCTTTTGTTGAACCAACACAAGCCATATCACTTGAACCAAATGAGTCCTCTGTTGAGTTTGACTCAGTATGAGAGATACAGTTGCATTCAGATAAGGTCCTTCCACCTAAGATGGTTAAGAATAATAAAAAAAAAAGATAGAAATATCATTACCCAACAGGATGATCATATCCCTTCTCCTCAAGCATAGGCTAAGGATAAGGGAAAAAGCCCACAGTTGGATGTTAATTATAATGTGTTGGCTCATTTGAGAAAGATCCCTTCTCTTCTTAGTGTGTATGATGCACTTATGATGTCTTCCGACTTAAGAGAGACTTTGGTGAAAGCTTTGCTTGAACCAGAGTCTTATAAAGCCTTCTTTGCCACTGAGTCAGTTAAGGATGCATGCTACCTGAGAGAGATGCCATGCATTACCTTTTCAGACTAGGATCTTCTCTTAGGGAATTCTGATCACAACTATCCCTTGTACGTCACCGCTGAAGTAAATGGTTATGAGTTGAACAGGGTCCTCATTTACCAAGGAGCTTCAGTTAATATCCTTAATCATGCCGCCCTACAGAGTCTCTCCCTTGGTCACTTAAAGGTCAATTCAGATAATATTATGCTGAAGGGCTTTAATGATCAAGGTCAGCGTGCTCTAGGTTCCATTACTTTGCCTTTGTGTTTTGGGGATCTTTTAACTGAGGCAAAGTTTCATGTTATTTAGGCAGATACCTCATACAAGGCCATCTTAGAAAGGCCTTGGATTCATGAATATAGAATGATGCCCTCTACACTGCACCAGCGCATGAAGTATATAAGGAATGATGTAGAGTTTTCCATTCCTAGAGATACTCTACCCTTTACCGTGCATGAGGTCTCTATCTACGATGATGCCGAGCACTACATGCCTCGAAAAGCTCGTAGACCTCCCATTGCCCAGTCACCAGTGATACCCGCTAGTGCTGTACAGGGTCCTATGCAGTCATTTGCACAGGGTCCTATACAATCACTAGCACAGGGTCCATCACAGGTTAGGATTGGGGCAGATGTTCCCACTGTGGACTTTGATGGATCTTTATAGTTTGTAATCAGGCACAATGCTCCTCCTAGTAGAGGTAGGGGATGGCGTGGTAGAGGTCGAGGTAGAGAGTCAGTTCGCCCTCCCAGGAACTTTGATACTCGAATTCCTCCTCCCCCGCAGCTTTACACTTCCCATTTGACTGTTGAGTCCGACTCTGATGATGAGATGATCGATGTTCCTCGTCAGTCAGCTCCCTTACCTGCTTTTAACATTGATCATAATTTATATCCTACATTCCATAGGAATATGATATCGCAAGGTGGTCTAATTATTGATAGTGATTTAGACGACGATGTAAATGTCATACGTCGGACTACTAGTCAATAATTCCTTTCTCGTCAGATGTATGGGATGAGAATTGAAGAATCCACTCCTCAACCTTCACCTTCACCTTCCACCAGTGTTCGTGGTGCACTACCCTTTGATAGGCGCACTGTACAAGAGTTGCACACTCTCTATGTGCCACCCCAATCTGCTTGGCATGCATCGTTGTTTCATAGTGTAGGTGTCCCACAAAGTACTGATATACAGGGTCCTGTGGAATCCACTGTGGACGATGAGATCATGCCAGTTCACCGGTACTTTTCCCCTACCATGGATAATTTTGTTGAGCGAGGCCTTGTCCCCTTCGACTTGGTCAGGTAGACAGGCTCAACTGTAGGCCCGTATTTGGCGAACTGATTTTCATCGAACTGGGCAAGGTGTGGGTTATTCTCAAGAGAATCAGTCCCCTTCCTCCAATATTCGCGTTGTCTCTCATTCCTATCCGGTTGTTTCCATCTCCGATGATGAAGACCCGGAGGAGAATGAGGACAAGGTCTTTGAAACTCCATGTGAATTCGAAGATGGCGCTAGTTCTGCCATGGATGAATTATGTGAGATCAATTTGGGTACTGAATCGGATCCTCGACCTATTTTTCATAGCGCTTTTTTATCAGAGTCAGAGGCTCAAGAGTATGTTTCACTCATTTCTGAGTTTAGAGATTGCTTTGCCTAGAGCTATACAGAGATGCTCGATTTAGATCCAGAAGTAGCAGTCCATAAGTTAGCTATTAGTCCTGATGCAGTCCCTGTTAAACAGTCACCTCGTCGGATGAGGTTAGAGATTGAACAATAGGTGATCGCCGAGACTAAGAAGCTTATAGAAACTTGTTTCATTCGTGAAGAGAAGTATCCCACTTGGCTTGCCAATATTATTCTAGTATGGAATAAGAGTGGTCAGATCCGTGTCTGTATAGACTTCCGTGATTTGAACAAGGTATGTCCTAAGGATCATTTTCCTCTTCCTATACCTGAACTTATGGTTGATATTGCTTCGTCCCATATCATTTTCTCCTTCATGGATGGTTCATCTGGTTATAATCAGATTAAGATGGCCCTTGAAGATGAGAAATTCACTGTCTTTCGCACCCCTATCGGTGTGTTTTTTTAAAAGGTGATGCCCTTTGGCCTCAAGAATGCCGGGGCCACCTATCAGCGTGCCATGACTATCATTTTTGATGAGTTGATTCATGAGCAGGTTGAGTGTTATGTGGATGATTTAGTAGTCAAAAACAAGGTCCGTAGTGATCACCTCTTAGACCTACGAATCGTTTTTGAGCGCTTAAGAAAGCATGATTTGAAGATGAATCCCCTAAAGTGTGCATTTGGTATCACTGCGAGGAAGTTCCTTGGTTCATTGTTCGCTATCGTGGCATTGAGATTCGATCCCTCCATGATTAAGGCCATAGTTAACTTGAAACACCCTAAGAGTCTTACCCAATTGAGGTCTTTTCAAGGTAAGATTGCTTTCTTGCGGAGATTTATCTCCAATCTTGCCAGTAGATGTCATCCATTTTCTGCTTTAGCGAAGAAGGATGCCCGCTTCCAGTGGGATAGGAACTGTTAGGAGGCCTTTGAGAGTATAAAGCGCTACCTGATGAGTCCCCTTGTGTTAGCTGCACCAATCCCTAGTAGACCGTTAATTCTTTACACTACGACCTTGGATGAGTCACTTGGTGCACTTTTAGCTCAAGAAAAT